GCCGTCTACCCCGCTTCGTGTCGGAACGAGACTTCTGGCGTCCGGCTGGCCGAGAACAACCAGCTGCCGACTGGCCAACCCACATTGTTGCCCGCGTATGCGTCGCCTGGCAAACCTACCATTCTTCGCGCCACATCCGGGGCTCGGTTTATCCCAGCAAGTGTTCAAAAGTCAGCATCAGCACCATTGAACGTTCACCCTACAGTCGCTTTTCCTAACAGCGTTGCGACCCGGAAGGATAATCAGACCAGTTCTGCAGACAAGAAATGGTCATTCCACCTACTCCTTGCGAACAAATTCCCTGAAGACAAGGGATGGCTTGCTTCGCGGACGTACCCAATCAATAGGGATCACCCAACGGACGGCATCCACGTCTTCATAGACGCCTCGAATATCTTGATCGGCTTCCGTCAAAAGTACCCTAAGCGGGCCCGGGGTACCCTCCACGTAGCCAACCTATTACTCCTCCTTGAGCGCAACCGGCCGGTAACCAAAGGCATCATCGGAGGATCGACGCGCCATGACGCCCCTAATGAGGAGCATGAGCGCCATATCGCACACGCTGAGCTACTCGGCTACGAAGCCTTGAAGTATGCACGGGTCTATAAACCCAAAGAAATTTCGCCCACCGACAAATCGTATCGTGAACAATCCAGCCGGGGTCCGGGAACCCGATCCAAACGCACAACGAACAACAACATGGAACCTGTAACCAGCGATTCCGACGGCACTTACTGGGCGGCTCCCTCATGGGTTGAACAAGGCGTGGACGAAGGCATCCAGCTGCGCATGCTCCAAAGCCTGCTCGACTACAAGACACCCGCGACGTTGGTGCTTGCGTCCGGCGATGGCAATAAAGCGGAGTACTCTGATGGCTTCTTCAAGCATGTGATGCGGGCGCTTGATAAGGGGTGGAAGGTCGAGGTGGTCAGCTGGAAGCAGCAGCTTAGTTCTCTGTATAAGAGACTTGCAAGGCAGAATGAGTGGGGGGAGAGGTTCAGAGTTATTGAGTTGGATGGATGGTTGGAGTTTTTGGTTGAGAGGGAGGGGGCGTGATCTGCGTGATCTGCGTGATCTGCGTGATCTGGGTAAGGAGGCTCGGGGATAGGTACAGTCCGGTCGGTGCTGCTTTGGAAAAGGCAGGCACTGATGTGGCACTGATGAAGGGATTGACAAGATGGCTTGGTGTACCTGGTCATGGGTGTTCAGTCCTATTTCCATCTACATCCTTCTGTTGCGGATACAGGAGGTCCTGGCAGGCGCCGGGCATTGGTCTACCGCACTCTCGTGGCTTTGGCTAAAGCCGAGCGTAGTTGTATAGGCCAGCAGAGCCATGACGGCCTGTAAGTGTTCACGAAAGTGTACTGGCATTCGGAAGGCCGTTTTTCCAATGTCTTCCGGCAAAAGGCCATCGGAGGAAGGTCATACGCTGAAGGGGATGAAGGGAAACCCTCAGTCTATCAATACCACAATTCTTACACCTTCGGTCAATACGCTTCAGCTCACTGGCGTGAAGAACATTCCATGACCAGATGGGTATTTTCTCTGGGCAGCAACCAGAAAAGTAGCACAGCAGAAGGGAACAAGAGTTTTTCAGTCATCGATCCATATCCATTAAGCATTACCAATTAAGTCTATCCACTCCACCTTCCCCCATCCATAATCCTTGCAACGCAGCACAATCCCAACCCCAGTCCATCGTGGACTTTTCCGTCTCCCTCAAAGCGAGCGTGAGCATGAGACATCTCCATCCCACACCATCAAAGCGAGCGTTTCCCTACCCCCACAACCTCCTTCCCGCATAAAACGAACGTACATTTTCCCCATACCCATACAATACACTCGCCAACGCGGCGAGGACCAAACAAAAGCGAGGGACATAGACTCGAGGGGGGTATCAAAATCCTCGAGTTCGTTGTACACTAAAATGTACAAACCACAAAAAAATGGCAAAGGCCATATTATGGAAGAAGAAAAAGAAGAACAAAAATAGGCATAAGTGAACAATCAAGCCTCCGCCCGGTATGAAGCGGGGGAAGTGAAATATCCACAGAGAAGAAGAAGAATCCCGCACTCCTACACACTAAGTGTGTAATATGCATAAAGCCCACAGCAAAAGCCCCCCAGGTATATAGACCCGGATGAGCCTGCAACGCTTTCGCTAAAACAATGTGGATTCGATAGAATCAACAGTGGAAATAATGCTGGGCACAATGCCAGTGCTTGTTCAAAAGAAGAACTCCGGTGTATGCATGAATCGTGATCGGTCTTTGTGAGATTGGTCGAGTCGAGGAGGAAGAGAGGGCGTGAGGAGGTCCGGTAGGGATAATAGACAATATGCGGAGTTTCGTACATAGATAGCAGCGCCATGCAATGCATGCAAAAGATGATTTGTAGGAATTCGTGATCGTGAAATCCAGGGGTAGAAGGCAGGGGACTCTGCTATCCCTACCGCATTTCCGTGTCGGAGCCAACAGTTTCGCCGTCCCATGAGCTTCGAGCGTCGTCGACGGGGGTGCGGGTCCCGGCGGCAGACGGACTGCGGTTGCCAGTTGAGTACGACGACGATGATCCCGTGGCCCAGTCGTCGGAATCCGAGAGCGGGTGGAACTCCTCGTAGATGTCAAGGAGGCCGTAGCTGGTGCCGTCTTGGGGTTCGCCGACCTCGACGTAGTCGTAGTCCCATCGGAATGTCTTCTCGGGTTGTACGCGGGGGAGGAATTGCCCTCTTGACCAGAAGAATGCGACGCCGGCAACTGGGCATGTTAGAAAGGAGCGAGGAGAAGGGCAAAGATTACTTACGGAGACTGCCAGCGACGAGATCAACAGCGTAGTGGTGCGAGAAGTACATGGTTGACCACCACAACCACATAACGTAGAAGCAGTAGACCGGGAACAGCCTGGGGAAGAGGTGGCCCATGAAGAGGGCCTCGAGTGTTGCCCAACCAGAATGCAGCGACGGGAAGGCGCCGAAGACCATGGGCGAAGCCAGGAACATGGATTCGTAGCCAGTACCAAGAAGTTTGTCGACGGCCTTCAGTCCTGCTGCGTCGCCTGGGATGCTATAGTTCGCCGGGGCGAGGCCATAGGTGTTCTCATACCATGGTGGTGAGCAGGGGAAAACGAGCTGGATCAGGACGGCAATCGTGTTCATGTAACCGAAAGCGCGTGCCCACTGCGGGAGCGTGCCAGGAGGGCCCCATATGAACATGGCGGCGGAGACGCAGACCGGGGATACGTAATGCACGACGCCGTAGGGGAGCCATGCCAGCAGGTCGAGTACCACATGCTTGTGAGCGGACAGGATGTTGCTGAGGTTTGCGCCATATAGCACGTTCTCGAGGGTGGGCAACACGCGCACCCAGATTGCGGGGCGGTAGTCGGCAGGGACGTATCTGCAGCAGGCTTGTCAGCGTTTGGGGCGCGATTGATAGGGATTCGTAATGATGGCCTGCGCCACAAAACCCTAAACATAGAGGCTGAGCCAACTTACTTGCAGCTTGCGAACAGGAGGAGCCATGTCAGAACGGGTAATGCGGGGAGAAGGGCCTGACGAGATACGGGGAGGAGGAGACCGAGCATCAGCAGAGCTGCTGCAAAAGTCTTTGCAAAGGGGCCGGGGGCCTCGGACACGGACAGGGAGAAGATGGCGACGATGCCCAGGAAGAGGTACTGGCCGTCGTAGATGGACCACGGGTGGGTGCGCAGCGACCGCAGCGTGTCGGAGATGGAGAAGGACGTCTGCAGCGACGACAGCGACGAGGCCGGCGACTGTCTGCTGCGGATGCGCGACTTGGTGGCTCTCCATTTGCGGCGGACGCGGTGCGGGATGAACTTGGGCAGGGCGGCGAGCCCGGGGATCTTGCGGGCGCCGTGCATCATGTCGGAGGTCGAGTTCTCGAGGAAGGCGAGGTAGGTGCTCGTCTTGTTGGTCGTCATGCTGGCGCTGGCGGTGTTTGTTGTGCTCGAGGCTGCAAGCGGTAGCGGTGACGATGGCAGACAGCAGCCGAGCCGGGTTGTCGAGGGCAGGAGTAGGGTACTGCGTAGGGGAAGAGGTCACCGACGCCTGCGAGGCGTGGTGTGCGAGGAGCGTAGGGGGCTGCGGGAAGGGCGAGGGCAGCAGTCGGTGGAGAAGGAGAAGGAGAAAGAGGAATTCGAATTCTTTGGCGGTGGTCGCTGAGGATGTTGGTCCGGGCTAAGGCGTGGGTAGTTAAAGAACGAAGACCGAACAGGGATGGCAGTCGGGGCGCTGCGGATGACGCCCCCAGCCAACCAGCAAGCACCGGACGAATCAACCTCACCAACCTGGGGCCAACCTCGCGACTCTTGCAACGAAGTCCCGGGCGTCTGCTGTGACCGACTGTCAGCATTTTCCCTACCATCTCTCTCCGTCGGGCATAGCGCTGTGCTTCTGCACGCCTCGGCGGGCGGCAACTGAGGTCGTCCGTCATCCGAACGCGAGAAACGACAGCCCTGCAAAATGAGCAATTTCCCGTGCCCCCAACGCCTCTAAGAAAAGAGAAAAAAACGCCTCCTGGTTCGCCCGAGCTTCGATTTTTGCTGAAAATATCGCAGAGATTTCCACGCCTTGTCGGCTAAACGAACGCGCCTCGGGACTCCTGAGCTTCGCGTCGTTGTCGTCGAGACTTCGAGTTCCCATCGAGAGGTCCAGCTCAAGCCGTGCCTCGATAACTGTGCAATGTGTATACGCGACGTCACACCACCTGCATCAGTAATCGTGCCGAGTCCCCCCAGCCACCGCAGAACACCGCACAGCTCTATCTCTAGAAAAATCAAGCTCACCAAAAGCTGCAAGTGTTTCACACGCGTCCTCGCCTTTCCCTCCGTGCTCATCGCGTGTTGTTTGACGCCCAGATCTTATGCTGCACTTAGCGTCATTGACCCCTGGCTAGAAGGATCTGGGCATCGGGATCGCTGCAATTCCGCTTGCCGAGCAACCCCACACCGTCATCGAATTTCCAAGAGCAAAAAGAAGATGGTGACAAGAGCGAGATTCGAACTCGCGCGGGTTGCCCCACTAGAAGACACTACAGATGACCTGTAGAAGTATGAAAACTTGAGTCTAGCGCCTTAGACCGCTCGGCCATCTTGCCGGATTGTTATGACTATTTTTGCCTTAAAAAACTTATATATATAGAAAATTGGGGCGACGGTAAGCACCCTTCTTCCGCTCTTTGTAAAAACAGTGGCTTGATGTTGCGACTCATCATCAGCAAGTCAACCTTTCGATTCTCCAACACTCCATGCCATTGAACACGAGCTTTTCGGAATCACACCCTGTCATCCACCAGTACATTTGGAGTTTTGATTGCTCACCGGCGCCCTCTCAACCACCACCACATCTGAAGCTTTCGGTCGCTTTGAAGTGAATGTATGTAAAGAACCACAGAATCTTGGATGAAGCACACTTCTATATACGGGGTTCAATAATTATTAGAAGTGTTGGCGATCATCATCCGATTCACTGATTGTATCCGCTAATCACCTACCCACGTTGCTAATGACCATTATCATCGGTGTTTGTATGACGAGAAAAGTACACTCCTGGTACAGGAATGCATTGGTGCTGATGTTCAATAACCAATCCCAGACGACGGCATCCGAAGCTCCTTCAGCTGATCGGAATGCCGCAAGGGCCGAGTAAGTCACATTCTGATGTACAGGTATGGTAGGCTGACATGAAGTAGCTGGCTGATCTGAAGGGACAGAAATTTCGTTTCCGAAGACCACGTTTCTCCAGCCTCCACTGAACAAGATGTGCAATCGTAGTGCGGTTATATCGCAATATGCATAGTACCAAGCTCGAATAGCGTACTAACAGCCACTGCCATCTTTTCAACCCTTGGAAACCTTTTCGCATTCCTCGGGCTCCAAAACAACCGTGCCTCATCCCTCCTGTAAAATTTTATGCGCTCACTTTGTTAGTGCAGCAGGCCCAGCATTGCTATACTCGTCAGTCTGTATTCAGGCGATTTGTATGACTGCACGTGTCAAAGCATCACTTACACTCCCCTCAAAATTCCACGGATACCACCCCTTCCCACACTCCAACCCCTCCCAACTCGGCGCACAAATCTTCGTACACTTGCGCGGCGGCGTAGGCTGAGGCTGCGGCATTGGATTCGCCAGTGCGACTGGAAGAGCCATGAGAAGCACGGCAGAGATGACGGAGAACTGCATTGTGGCGGTAGGTGTGAAGAGCCGGTATGGTGTTCTGGGGAATTAAGAATTGGTGGAGAGGGGTTAGAACGAGGACCTCAAGAGGTTTAAATAAAGCTGGTGTCGCTTCCAAACTATTTAATCTATGCGTGTATTAACACGCGGCCTATCCTTGCAGCGCTGAGCCGCGTGGCTGAATAGACCCGAGTGCGTGTTACGGTTACGGTATCCCTTGCTACACCTCCCTACGCGGTGCTGAGTGCTTGTAAGCACTTCTATTGGTGTTCAATAGACAAGGTGGGATGTTGCAACGCTGTTGGCGGCGAACAGATCTTCGCGCTGCAAACTCCTCCAAGATCTTCGCCAGCTTCGACAGTGTTTGCAATTTGGTTGGAAGTGAAGTCTTGCTGGTGTGATCACTGTTTGTATGATACTCTACATCAAGAGAATTCTGTTCGGCAATTGGTGAACTGTTGAATGCCTAAAGGTCGAACCTGAACATTGTCGGTGCAGTGCGCAATTATTCCTTCCTACATAGTATTGGGAAGGAAGGATCGTACGACATGTTATGCAGCAGAACATGATGGACCCAAAAAAGCCTGTTTGAGCGGACGTGTGGTGTTAGGGTATGTTTGCACGAAGTGAGGAAGGTTCCAAGGACTTCCACAGCTCACAAGAATCAATGACATTGATGATGCCCGTCGGACATCTTGTGCCCGCGTCGACAATATAGCAATCGGGGCTTGTTGGGAACTGCGCCATTGCGGTCGGGAGGGCTAAGAGAAGCACAGCGGAGAGGATGGTGAACTGCATGTTGAGAAGAAGTAGTATCGATGATTGAGACTGGCGTTTGGGTATTGTGAGATGTCTCTAATGGATACAGTTGTGACGTTTAAATAGAGATGAACATCCGAACGTGACTCGCTATAGACATCCACTTCACTGATATCTGGATGACCCGAGCCGGTGGAACATCCCTTGCTGAACCGGATGGTCGCCACGGGTCGATGTGTGGTAGGGTAAGGATATAGATTTGGCAGTAGGCTAGCAGGGTACCGACTATTCAGCGATCACTGCAACCTTCCAAACCCGTGGCACGGTTCCCCGGATCCATGACACACTATTCCCCCACGTCAGACGACCGCCATTCCCACTGTCGTTTCACTCCAAAGGACAGTTCCCCTTCTCAGTTTACGCGCCACGCCCGGCGTACACGAGACAGGTATTCCCTAGACCTTGCAGTATCTCGACGGCAAAAACTATGTGGGCCATTAACCTCTATCTCGACCCAAGTGTAGAAAGAAGTACTCACACCACCCATCCCTCTCATATGGAAATAGGGAAAGAACTTCCACCCCTCCTCACACAATGGTCCGGTCCCGTTGTAGTTGGAAGACTTACAGTCGCCCGAAAAAGCAAAAGAGACTGGGAGTGCCAAAACGAGGACAGCAGAGACGGTGGAGAACTTAATTTGCATATTGAACGTCCAAGAATCGGATGTCTGGTGATTAGTTGTTGTGGGCTGCGATAGCAAGATCCCGCAAGGTTTAAATAATGACAAGATTCGACCAATCCTTGCTATGGATACTCGATGCACCATTGCAATCACCAACCTGAATAACCCAAGCCATGTCACTGTCTCCGCCGTGGACGTCGCCACGCAATCCCGATCCGAGAAACGGGAGATGCGGCAACGAGAAGGTTTGCAGAGGGACATGCAATAAACGGCGCAGATACGATGAGCTTGGCAGGCGCGGCGCAGATGTAGTCTTTGCACGGGTAAATTGCGGAGAACGTGTTGGTGTGATGTTGGTGTGAATAGCAGATCTCTTGAAAGGGACCAGCTGCGATAATGTTGGTGTGAATAGCAGAAATGTCGAGAGGGGAATACAATAAAGACGGAGGCCCGAAAATTGAGGCTAGAATATCGCAACGGCGTTTGGAGGGCTGGCCACACCGCCTGGGACCTGCGTTTTGTGTCAGCTGATATGCGTGGTATATGTGTATGGTGCCTGGTAACGTACATTCAGAGGTACGCTGCTCACGAAGCAGGTCCATCGTTGCAGTTCATCAGCTTTGTCGCATAGAGCTTCCAGATCCCACATCTCCCCAATCATGACACCTGCCGTCGTCAGCATCTCTCGAATCTCAAAAAGAAGAACGACGAGAAAAAACTTACCCCAACCCCCCAAACACCACTGATGTACCAAACCACCCCCTGTTGACCATTCTTAGCAGCTTTCATCTCATGTTTGTTAAGACAACTGCTTACCCTGCATCTCCTCCTCCCAACTCTCCCCCTTCCACAACCCCCCAACCTTATTATGCTCCCCCACAAGCGGACTCATCTCAAAACTCGGTGCATCCCCCGCAACAGCCATAAACCCATGTTCCCAAATCCACTTCAACACACTCTTACTACTCTCCACACCCAAGAACGCCGGCGGCTTTCCTGCTAGCTCCTTCCTCTCCCTCATATCCAGCTCCAAATACCTCTCCGTAAACCCCGTCCTCAACAACAACAAATCCCCCGCCCTCGTCTCCACCCCAGTCTCCTTCAACATACTCTCCAACTCATCCGCGGAAATCGACGACGCAGAAAGCGGATTCACCTTCTCCCTCCCCTGTTTCTTCACCCACCGCGGATAATCCAAAATCACACCACGCGTAGTAACCCCTCCAGCTTTCGCAACCCGATCAATCCCCAACACCCCACTCTCCCCCTCCACCTCCTCCTGCTTTCTTCCCCCATAATACAATTTTCGGCTCTGATACCCATAATGCCTGAACCCGTCCCACTGGCTACTACTCTGCGTATTGAACTCACACAACATGTCGTCGTTTACCGTTCTCTTGCAGCCGTCGGGGTGAGAGCGGTTGGTAAGTTTCCATTGGAAGGGAGGACGGCCGAAGGAAGGGAAGGTGGGGAGGTTGAGCGACCAGTCGAGGGAGACGCGCTCGCCGAGTTGGATTTCTTGGGCCGCGGATTTGATGACGGTGGGCGTGAGGAGGTTCAGCGCGCCCAGTTCGTCGTGCGTGCCGTAGAGACCCCATGCGTTTCCTGGGGGGCCGGTGGGGTCGAGGGGAAGGGAGGAGAAGGGGGGGCGGGGTGGGGGGTTGGTGGTGGGCATGTCGGGTGGTGCGAAGATGCTACGAAAGGTGGCTTTAGGGATGGTAAGGAGAGTGAGATCGATTTTACCTGAACTCACGCTTTATGTCGAAGGCGCGGGGTCGTCGTTCGTTCGGCAACAAGGCGGCTATAAGAGGAGCGATGATGTAGTGGGGGTACAACCGCGGTTCCCCTCTTACTCTTTCTGTCTTAATCGAATACCTAGAAGCTCACAATTAGCTTTCAATCGCAGTGATCTTACAGTCAAAGTAGAGTTCTTCGAGTTTGAACAGCCCGTGAAATGGATCTGTGCAGTCATTAAATATATTAGTATGCTATGAATTAGGTCCCATACCAACACCAGTCCCAGCCTTGGACCCAGTGTTCTGAAGATGTGCGCTGCTTCCTCTAAACAGGCTTTGCCAAATGAAGGCCTCGCTGAGCAGGAGCTCAATATCTTTTTCTGTCCAATCCCGTGTCGGCAATGCTTGCAAAAACATCATGATCTCTTGAAAGTCCATCTTTCGAAGCTGGTCTGACCATTTGACGAGAAAAGCAGCGCAAACGTAGAGGTGAAATGAGGAGAAGCCGTCCTCCTCAGCCTGTGGTTTTGTTAGCAGGGTCATGGTCCAGGGACAAGCTTAGCTGCGTACAAGGTACGTATCCCACATCCTGATCGTGTTCTTCACTGATATCTCCCGCATCAACAGACAGTTCATCCACCGGAAGCTGAATTGAATAAATTCTACACCTTCATTCTGCAGGTGCTTGGCCAGGCCTTGATCGATCCTTGTAGTCAGGTCCCGCAGACTTGCAACTTGTCGC